CTCCCCTGTCTGATCCCTCTCTGATTTCCTGAGATTACCCCCTAACTCAAGCATGCCTTAGCTCTGTCATTGCTAGCAATGGGTTCCCACTTATTTTTAAAATATATTTTTATTGATTTAGAGAGAGAGGGAGAAGAGGGATAGAGAGAAATATCAATGAAAGATAAATCGATCAGCTGCCTCCTACACGCCCCCTACAGGGGGTGGAGCCTGCAACCTGGGCATGTGCCCTGATCCGATATCGAACCAGGGGCCTCTCGGTTCATGGGTCAATGTTCAACCACTGAGCCATACCGGCCAGGCAGGTTCCCACTTTTTAAAGAAAAAAATACTATGAGATATTTGAGCGTATCTTTGACCCAGAACCTTGCTAAAGATATCAAATATTGTGACTATAATTCAATTCCTGAGGGCTCTTTTAAGTGTAGTCTACAATGAAATGTCCACCTTTATCATGATTCTTTGGCACTGCACTTGGTTGTCTTTGATTTCCCATAATTCCTTGGCACTTCCGTGACTGGCTGTCGTGAATTTGTTTTACCTCTGACTCTGTGCAATACCATGTCTAGTTTTTGTGTGGCTCTGATATCATGTCCAAGTTACTTTCATATCATGTGTTCCAACAGTAGATTAAAAGACAATTTTGGTAGATTTTGAGGGACCCCTTCATGGGCAGCCAGCTCTTTGGGAACCTACAAAAGGCTTCTTCCACCCTGGAGTCCAAAACGCAGCTCAGAAATAGTGTTGTTGAAGTAAGTCTCTTCTTCCAGAAGGAACAGGGCCATGGCTGGAGTTACTAAAATGGACACATCTGGGCTGGTCACCTTTGCTTGTGTTGGTGCCCAAACACTTCCTTCTCTTTCCTACCTGGACCACTTTAGCAGTTGAAGGGGACATTCGGGGCTGATCTTGAAGCAGAGGGTGGCATCAAATTTTGCTCCTGCCCAATCCTGTTATGAGTTCTAAGTAAGAAAGTTCTATGGGTCAGTGTCCTCTGTACCCGTGCCTGTCATGGCTATGTAACTGCACAGGCAGCCTTGCCAGCTGGGTTGAATTTAAGAATTAACATGCTATATTCACACCCAAAGCCCAATGTTCAAATGTTCAGCCAGACCCACTTGAGAACATGAATTACCTCAGAAATTAGATTCCTCAGATGTTCCACTGGCAGCCTGGTTTGGGGACTCAGGTGGCTGCCTCTGCTGTAGTTCTTAGGCCTGAACCAGCACCCAAATGCCTCTTCTGCTGGCCCTGGAGTTCTGTCTCCACATAAAGATCAGATCATATTTTCCTAATTAAAAACTCCAATGGCTTCTCTTGACACTTCCCAAAGTCTATAGGACCCTGTGTAATCTAGCCCTGCATGCCCTTACAAATAATCTCACATCTCTTTTCTCTTCCCTATGTTTCACCATACTGACCTTCTTTCATTTCCACAAACAGGCTAAGCTGTTTCCTGCCTCAGACATGCTATTCTCTTAGCCTGGAAAATGCTCCCCACCCCCACCCCCAGCCTTTCCCAACAATTGGATTTCAACTTGAATGTCCCTTCTCTGACCACCTTAACAAAAACTAGACACATACCTTTTATTCGTTAACACAGCTACAATCACATTTTTTTTATTCTTTTCCAAAATTTCTGTTTCCTTGGTCTTAGTCAGTCTGCTCAGCTATTTTGTAAGTTCTATGAGGCCGACCTGTGTCTATTTTTTTCTAAGCAGTACTTTTACTGCGTCCTACACATTTTGATAGGTTGTAATTTTATTTTGTTCAATACTTTTGATTTCTCTTGAGACATCTTCTTTGACTTATGTGTTATATAGAAGAATGTTATTTGGTCTCCAAATACTTTGAGATTTTTCAGTTATCTTTCTGTCATTAATTTCTGGTTAAATTCCATGCTGGTCTGAGAGCATACTTTATATGATATTTATTCTTTTAAATTTGGAAAGGTATGCTTTATGGTCCAGAATGTGGTCTATCTTGGCAAATGTTCCATGTGAGCTGGAGAAGAATGTGGATTCTGCTGCTGCTAGATGAAGTATTCTCTAAATGTCAATTAGATCCAGTTGATGGATAATCATGTCTCTTTTCACCATTAAATGCCCAGGGTTTAACAGAGAACTTGGCCTGCAGAATGTGCTCCATAAATGTTTATTGAATTAGAGGAGAGAGAACAAGCAAGAGGAAGGGAAGAACAGATACAGTGACCTCACATGTTATTCCCCCAACTATAGTTTTCAATATTTAACTATTATCTATATAATACATTTTAACTATTATTCTTCCTACTCAGTAGTAATATGTCAAAATCATTTACCCTGTTTCTTCTGTTGTAACAGATGCAATTATTTTATGTACCACTGTAAAAAGGGGGGGTGGGGGGGGAGAAGCACCACCAATAAAATTGTGAAATGCCAATCAATTTCAAAGATGTTTAAATATGAGAAAAGCAAGTCACAGAGTTGATGAAATATTGTAGTTAGCTACAAGTCTGCCTTGTGTGCTTATTTAGCTTTGTATTCCCAGCACCAAGCTCATGGCATAGAATAAATGCTCATTAACATTAATTTAGTTATTTGATGTGTCACTCACTCCCCACCACCAGCCCCCTGGCCATCCTTCATCCCCCAGTCCTCCTATTTCCTGTGTTCCCATGCTGTCAGTGTTCCTAACTGGTCAGAGATTTTAATTTCTTTTGAAATACATTTGCTGCATGAAAATCTGATGCTTTTTCACGTTTCTCATGACCTGGCTGTGGGCAGTCACCTACACTACAGCTAAATATCTGCCAAGCTCATGTTTGCTCTTAAAACTACTGTGATAGACTGGCGTCCCCTTCACTCCCCTGGCTCCCTCAGCACAACTGCATTGGGCCTAGTGGTAGATGCCGTGGCAAACCAGTGACGAAGAGAAATTGGGTAAAGAGAAGGGGTAGAGGAGGTCAATGGGGGAAAAGGAGGACATCTGTAATACTTTCAACAATAAAAATAATTTTTTTTGTTAAAAAAAGAGGGAATTGGGGCAGGGAGAACTTTGGGAAGCTTCAAATAAGTTGCTGTTAACTCCTTGTCCATTCACTGGCCTGATCTTTCCCTAAGCTTTATTTATTTTTAATATTTATTTAGGAAAAGCAAAAAGAAGTAAAACTCAGGGATCTTCACCCCAGTCAAATAAACCATATTCCTTTTAATCCCTTTTATATAGGACTTCTTTAAAATAAGGATCCCAAATGGGTATCATGGTGGAGTGAATGTAGCCACTCGGTTCAGCCAGCATGGTGTTGTTTGAAACACGAATTGGCTATGCATTCTCCAGTTGGCCAGCACATCACTTCTAACCATTTTATTGCGATAGATTTTTATATTCCTATTACCCGCTGGACCCTTGAACATATCTGAATTTTTGACCCCTGCCTTGACTGTGTGGTTTTTCTTCCCCAGGAGGCCCTCCGGCTCACCATGTCCCCTTGGTTTTCTTACCCTCATTTTGAGATTCATTGGCCATTAGAGATGGGTCAGTTTTTCTAATTGTAGAGAAAACTATACCCTGAAGTTGAAATAAACTGGTTATAGAAATGTTTGTTAGATATGTTTATTGGTGCAGGATGTAGCTATAAAAATAATCCCTGCCTCTATTCCCACAAGGCCCAAACACCCATGGTCATTATGAAGCAGTATTAGAAGGAGGAGGGTGGTGGACAGAATTTTAAAAATTGTCACAATGTTAGTTAACATTTAAAATTGCATAAAGAATTTGGGGATCTAAGACCTCCCTCTAGCCCAAGCTCTAATCACAACGTTTAAACAGATCTTCCCTGGGCTTTTGCTTGGAATTTACTAAATAAAGCACAGGTAGGGGAAGATAGTGTTGGATGAAGCTGTGAAGACTTGGAGTAGTCTAGTAGTGTGTCCTTTAAGGCATGGCCACAAGGAATAGGTGTTCTTTTGTCTCCTTTATGAAGTCAATTGGGCATAGAAGACAAGTGATTAAGTTAAAAATAAAACTGAAGTGCTTTCCTCTGTTTCAGGAATAAAAATATAAAAATGTGGTTTTTTTTCTGGAATTGGTTGCTTTTAATCTTTTAATAGTAGTTTCCATTTCACTTCTCCCCTCCACCTCACCTTTCCCCTTCCCCTGTACCCCCTGCAAGGTATTCATTCCCCTGCATAAAACTGAAGTTCCCCAATTCTTATCTGAAAAATGCTGACCCCTGCACTGGTTGAAACCCCGTGAGGGTAATAGAAGGGTATTGCATTCCGAAACACTGATCATTAATTTTTCTACAGGGCCGATTTAAAGTCAAACTTATTAGGTTTCATAATTATTTTCCAAATAAGACTTTTTAATTCACAGACTAACCTATTTAAAGCTACTGTGATAAATGAGGCCTAAATGAAACACACTCTTCTTGTAAATTATTTTAAATTTGAGCCTGGAATGTATAGAGAAATAAAAATTTTCTACTAAGCACACAAAGAACAGAGCCACTAAAAACATGGACACCATCTCTGCTGCCTCTTGTGATGTCTAACCCCAAGTTCCTTCTGTTTTCTATTACAGGGTCAAGTCTTTAATTTATAGGTCTTGTTTTATTGAGAGATAATTGGCATATAACACTGTATAAGTTTAAGGTGTATGACATGTTGATTTGATGCACTTATATATTGTATATTGCCACTGTAGTGTTAGCTAACATCTCCATCATGCCACATTATAATTTCTTTCTTGTTATGAGAACACTTAAGACCTTATAACTTTCAAGTACACAATAGTATTGTTAGCTATAATCACAATGCTGTGCATTATATCCCTACAATTTATTTATCTTCTAACTGAAAGTTTATACCCCTTTACCAACATCTCCTCAATTCCTCCATCCATCCCACCCCCATTCTACTCTCTGTTGCTATGATTTGGCTTTTTAGATTCCACATATAAGTGAGATCATATAGTGTTTGTCTTCCTCTGTCTGATTTATTCCACTTAGTATAACACCCTCAAGGTCCATTCATGTTGTTGCAAATGTTGAAACTCAAAATCTTGTATATAGCTTCACAGAAAGAAACAATTAAATTGTTAGTATCACTGGGTTTTTGGTTCTTCAGTAACTCAATTACATCTATAATTAAAGTGGGATTTCATTAAAGAGAAATGTTTTTGATGACTTCACTCTGTCACAAGAATCTCCTCCAATACATTATGCCGGGATTGACTAGCAGACCCTTAGCGACGGATGAATGGATTACTCTGACATGTTTCTGTGAAAGAGAGGGCTAAGGGACTGCTTGGTTACAGGAACCAAGCAGCCCCATTTGCCTGCCTCCTTAGGCTTTTATTGTAACAACAGCTTGAACTAAAATTAACTATTAGATACTATCAGCAGGGTAATCATCCTTGAGAAAACACATGCATCTGTAGTGTCCTTTAAGCAAGGACGTGTCTAAGTAAACACCCAAGGGCTCAAACTTGTTTGGAAAAGTCAAGGCAGTGTCTGCTGCCTTTCAGCAAAATTCCCTTAGAGGCCCCCGAACTTTTGAGGATTCCTTCTTACATACTTTCCAAACAAATCCTGTGCTCCCCCACAACATTAGTTTTCTTTTTGCCAAGAAATGTGTGTCCTTACCTCCTGGGTTTGCCGTTAATAGACTGGGTTTCTATTCTAGCTCTGCCTCGTTCTATCTGTGAGAGTCCATTACACTTTCTAGCCCGAGTCCTCTAAATTATGAAATGGAAATAATAACTTCAGCCAGAAAGAGTGTTGTGCATAGTGGGAATGTCATTAATGTTGATTCCTTCTTTCACATGGTTATCAGACCATGTTCAATATGAGGAATTTTAAATTCTTTGCTAAATTGTGGAATAATAAGTGAACTACTAGGCTTGAACTTTTCATATGGCCTGGTTCACAGTAAAACAATCTACTAGGGCAGTGGTTCTCAACCTTCCTAATGCCGCGATCCTTTAATACAGTTCCTCATGTTGTGGTGACCCCCAACCATAAAATTATTTTTGTTGCTACTTCATAACTGTAATTCTGCTATTGTTATGAATCATAATGTAAACATCTGATATGCAGGATGTATTTTCATTGTTACAAATTGAACATAATTAAAGCATAGTGATTAATCACAAAAACAATATGTAATTATGTATGTGTTTTCCGATGGTCTTAGGCGATCCCTGTGAAAGGGTCGTTCGACCCCTAAAGGGGTCATGACCCACAGGTTGAGAACCGCTGTACTAGGGGAAGAATAAAGAAGGATAGGACAATCAAAATAAAATCGATCCAAATCAGCGGTAGCTGCAATTTGCTGATCTTGTTCAGTAAAGAACATAGAAAAGAGGTCTCGAATGTGACCATTAGAAGTATTTGATGCTGTGTGAAGGAATAATTTTTCTATTTCACTGTTATTACTAAATCATCACTGCCTTATGTTTAACCCATACTGTATAAATCATCTAATGAGGATTCATTTCTTTGTTTTATCGGTTATGAGATACAGATATTGACACCAAGAAATATGAGATAATTACCTAGTAATAGGCAGTTTTACAGACCCATTGAACCAAAATCTGATTAGGGGACTAAAAAAGTGCATGTTAAAGAAGCACCACACATGCTTTTTATTTTTTTTTTATGGTACCAACGGCCTTGGTCTTTATTGGTTGCAACGAACGTGGAAAAGGAGGGGATACGACAGCTCCGGATCCTGTGGCGGCTTCAGACTCCATAGCCAACCTGGACCACACATGATTCTTATGCACACAAGTAGGTTAGTTCCACTAGCATGAAGGCTTTTAGTAATTGCTGTATGTTGAACCCTTCTAGATCTTAAGGAGTATTCTGGTGGTTGAAAAGTTTGCTTTGATATCAGTGGAAAAGTAACATTACGTCATTATCTGTGGCTTGAAGTAAAATCATGACATTGCCTATTGAGAAAATCAAAAGCCTTCTGCTGACTGTTCCGGAAAGCTCAGAGAAAACTGGAGTTGCCAAGTAGGGTATGACAAAAGCTGCTTTGGTTCTTCAATAGCTCAACTACATGTGTAATTAAAGTGGGATTTCATTATGAAAGAAGGTGAGGTGAAGTGAAATGGAAACTACTATTAAAAGATTAAAAGCAACCAATTCCAATTTTTATATTTTTATTCCTGAATCAGAGGGAAGCACTTCAGTTTTTAACTTAATAATTTGTGTTCTATGCCCAACTGACTACAGAAAGGAGACAAAAGAACACCTATTCCTTGTGGCCATGCCTTAAAGGACACATGAGACTATTTCAGGTCTCCGCAGCTTCATCCAACACTATCTCCCCCTACCAGCGCTTCCTTCCCCTAACTGCTTTGGGGCTTGCTGAGTGATTCTTGCCATGTGATGGGTCCACAAGAACCTGTCAATTTCCTAATAACTGAGAACTGGACACTGCCCCATTAAAAGGCATGAATTGCTACAGAGATCCTGAAAAATATCAACAAAAGCCACAGAGAGGCCCAAATGCTGGTCTCAAATACCAATCTTGTGGGCAGCATTTCCTATTGCATATCTTTGAACAACAATAACAATAAAATAGAATATCCCGTTGTTGGGTGCGAGCTCCTCAGCCAGAGATGTGACCCTCCTCCATGAGGAAATCAGAAGAACATGCGTGTACAAGCAGGCTAATGGTACATGTTTTATTCCACACAACAGCAGCCATAGCAGGCTGGTCAGCGACAGCTTATATACTTGCTCAACCAAGCTCAAACAAAGAGGCACTTTGCCATCAGTATTTTGCTACAGAAAGGCATATCTGCGCAGTGTAAGGCTTGTGGCGACCTTGCACCTGCATAATAGTATCTTAGCCTTGAGCACCCCGATTAGGCTCATGCTTAGAGTGGCCTTGAACATTTGGTGTATTCTAGACAGAGCCCCACACTCCACCCTTTACACCAGATGGTTTATATGGGGTGCTCTTGCCCATATTCTAGAACCTTGGGCACAGAGACCAACCACAACAGTAATACCAACTACAACATGATATGAGCAGTACTCCAGCTCCAATAGAACCAAATGCCCAGGGCCATGCTCCTGACCACCAAACTGTGAGGGGGTAATGAGACAGGGCTTGTACTTCCCTATCTATCTCTTCTAGGGAACCGGTTACATTCCCTTGATTATCAGGCATATATGTACAGCATTCTGCAGCAGTTAAAAAATCTAGTGCCATTCTCTTCTGCAGTACCACCTTTTGCATCCGTGTCATTTCACCCATCATTAAAGTAAGGGCTTGCTGGGTCTGATTCAAGGCTTTAGCTGTATGCTCCACTAAAGCTGTTCCTTCTAACTCTACCTTAATTGTTCCTGCTGCAGGGAGGAATACAGCTAAGGGGTAAAACCACCAGGGAGTCCGTTTAACAGGATGCCACCGGTGGCATACTGAGTCCCAGTTATGGGGAATTTCTCCTAAAGTCTTGAGAATTCGCCCAAGGATGTAGGGCCTTCCCCAGGTGCATCGACCCGACCAATTCGCTGGGAGGTAGGGCCAGCCATACCTTCCACACACCCATAAGAATCCTGGCATCATCCTATCTGCAGGTTTTGTGCCGGTATAACGCTTTCCATTCCGGCACTTCTGGGCCTCAGCATTGATGGTTATGTTACGACATAAGTTTGAAGGCAGCCAGCCAACAACGTGATTCTTACTGCTTCGCTGCTGCTCCACATACCTGTCTGTAGGCTCTCTGAATTCTACTTGCTCTCCTATCAGCCACCCCCAACCGTTCCACACGGCATAACCAATAAAGGGGTGGGCATTGCCATAGTCCCGCTGGATTAAAGTCTCGATGGCTTGACACACAGAGTCCCAGGAGGCGTTGCCGAAGTCTTGGTCAGCTAGCCACATCCAATTGGCAGTGGTGGCCGGGTGGATGCACGATGGAAATCCGCCGGCCTGTCCCGGGGGAATCTCTGTGCACACCCAACAATGGGAGACATTGTGTACTCGAGCATAGGTGTGTGTCCACGACACTACGCTGTTAGCCAAGCTCACCCTGGTCGAAGAGACAAAAGAGAAACTGAGACCATCATAGGGAGATCACGGCTTTCCGGCATGATGCCAGCAACTGTGTCTCCCCAGCACTGTGGCTGGAATCGGAGGATGACCTGGCCGGTGATACCAAACAGGATCTCCCCTTTCACAAGGGAAGCAATGGGAAATCTGCCACTGGCCAGAGGGCAATAGCATTAGCTCCCTTTAACAATGTTCCCTTCCTGTGTTTACCAGTTTTGACTTGCCCAGTTACAGGCCAGGGCTGGATTAAGGGGTGCAAATGTAACTTGTAGTCATACCTGCTTCCCCAAGGGGATAGGAGGGCTACCCAGGGCCCTTCCCCAGTAACAGTCCATGGCCAGGTCCACACTGCCTCCTCCCCCTCTGCCAAGGGGGCAGGTGTAGGCGGCGGCAAAGTTCCAGATGGATGTACCTTGAGGTGTAACAGTTCATCAGTTGTTTTCGCCCGCATGTGCAGCGTCTGAGGATACCTCTGCATCATTAACGCTAATGGGGAGGCAGCCATCTTCCTGGATGCTCATTCAGCAATCCGATGGCCGTATCCAATCGTCTAGCCCCGTGGTCGGCAAACTCATTAGTCAACAGAGCCAAATATCAACAGTACGACGATTGAAATTTCTTTTGAGAGCCAAATTTTTTAAACTTAAACTATATAGGTAGGTACATTGTTATTAACTTAATTAGGGTACTCCTAAGGCTTAGGAAGAGCCACACTGAAGGGGCCAAAGAGCCGAATGTGGCTCGCGAGCCCCAGTTTGCCGACCACGGGTCTAGCCTAACCTTTTAAGCTAGGTGGGTCCACCCCTAGATGGAGCTTGTCTTTTAACAGGCCTTTATACCATTCAATCATCCCAGCAGCTTGGGGATGATATGGAACGTGAAACTGCCAAGCTATGTCCTGGGCCTTGGTCCAGCTCTGTACCTCTTTCCCTGTGAAATGGGTTTCATTATCACTTGCTACGCCTAGGTGGCCCATAGGTGGCTTCCAAGTGTTCCAAGCCTTGGACAACTGTCCGTTGGGTGGCCTCCTTTGCAGGCTAAGTGAAGAGGAGGCTGGTGGCAGTGTCCACAGCCGTCAGGGAAAACTTAAAAGCCTGGTCTGGAGGAAGAAGCCCAACGAAATCCACCTGCCAATGTTGCACGGGGGCCCCTCCTCTGAGGACATGGCCCTCCTTCCCCTGGAGGCCATATCGACGGGGCGGGGGGGGGGGGCGCGGAGGGGGGCAGGGTGCCTGAGCATAGCGGGGACAGCCTCGTACTGCAGCCAGGGCTTCTCCCGTGGATAGGACCAGGCCCCACCGCTTAGCTACTTGCACCATTGTTTGTGGTCCCACGGGCCACAATTTCCGATGGAGCCACCAAGGCCGATCTTCAGGGGAAGGTACTACCTCCCAGACCCTTGCCAAGGCATCTGCTTCATCATTCCCAGGGGCTAGCAGTGGTCCATGGCCACTCAAATGGTATATTGTTGCTTCTTTGGAAGTTCCTACTTTCCATATGTCCTTCCACATTTCCTGTCCCTACACAGGACTATGTCCTACCAGCCACTGCTGCTTGTGTCATTGCAGCAACCATAAAGCTAAGCCTTTAAAGTCAGCCCAGCTGAATGTCTCAATTGCCAAAGTGCCAGGCTCTTTTGTCAAAACCATCCAGACTGCTCTTAGGTCAGTCCATTGGCTACTTTGCCTAGTACCAGAATCAAACCACAGTTTGTCTATATCCAAACGGACAGCCAGTGCCGTCCATGTAGCAGGGTTCCCCTACTTGACCTGTCCGTGTACCGCATGGTCTCCAGGAGGGGGGGAGGCACGCCCTCTCAGAATGGACTAGGGCAGGGGTGGGCAACCCCTGGCACACGTGCCAAATATGGCACGCCAGTAACTTTTGCTGGCACGCGAAACCCTCTCTTATAATCTTCCATTTACAATTGTGAATCTTTGTTCTCAGTGATGAATTTTGTTAAGTCTCATAATAGGAGTAGCCTGACAGATGAAAGTAGTAGCTCGTGCATATCTCTGAAGGTCACAAAATATAAACCTGATGTAAAATCTCTGTCATCAGTGATGCAGCAGCAAAAGTCCCACTGATAATATCAAACGGACTCATAAAGTTTTCTGTTGGACTATCAGTGTACATGTATACATTAAAAAATAAATGTATTTTTCATCATCATATACTGTGTTTTTGTCACTCGAATGAATTTTATTAAGACAGTGATGGCGAACCTATGACACACGTGTCAGAGGTGACACGCGAACTCATTTTTTTGGTTGATTTTTCTTTGTTAAATGGCATTTAAATATATAAAATAAATATCAAAAATATAAGTCTTTTTTTTACTATGGTTGCAAATATCAAAAAATTTCTATATGTGACACGGCACCAGAGTTAGGTTAGGGTTTTTCAAAATGCTGACACTCCGAGCTCAAAAGGTTCGCCATCACTGCCTTAAGAGATATCAAGTAGGCATAACATGTTCTCAAAAAATTAGGGTTGGCACGCAGAAGAATTTTGAGTCAGAGATTTTGCTGGTTTTGGCACACACTCACAAAAAGGTTGCCCACCCCTGGACTAGTAACTCTTCCAGAAGAGTTTCATCCCCTGACAGGATCTCACATGTCATAGGACCCAACAGGGTCTGCAATTCCTGTGACAGAGGACTGGTACTCACTACTGACCTTTGTCCCAAATAGGCCCCCCACTTTGCTAAAGTTGGGGTTTGTGCCACCCCCGACTTGGGCCTGGTCACTCAGGACCTAAGCCAATGGCTGGCTAGAGGATAGGCAGTCTTCACGAGCACCTTACTTTGTGCTGTGATTGCCTCACAGGCCTGCAAGGCCGCATAAGTGGCTGTCAACTGCTTCTCAGTGAGGGAGTACCGACTCAGCCCCCGTCCATAGCTGAGACCGGCACCCAATGGGCACTCTTCTCTGCCCATGCTGTTGCCCCAATGGTTGTGTTGGGACTACAGCCTGTAAGGTCTGGGCTTGGGCCATTACTCTCTTGGCAGCGAGAAAGGCCTCCTCAACCTCGAGTCCAGTTCCATGCCGCTCCCTTCCGGGACAACTGGTACAAGGGCTGCAACAATTGGGCCAGGTGGGGAATGAATACTCTCCAATACTCCCAAAGACTAGTAGGTCTGTAACTGTCTCACTGTAGTAGGACAGGGGAAAGCCTGCACTTTGTCAATGACTGCTTTGGGCACCACCTGGGTCTTACCCGACCAGACAAATCCCAAGAATTTGACAGACAAGCCAGGTCCCTGAGCCTTGCAGTCGTTCACTGCCCATCTCCAGGAGCCCGATGCCTGCCGCAGGCTACTGGCAGCTGTGTTCAGATCTGCAAGAGAATCAGAGGTTAGCATGATATTAGCAATATAATGAAACATTGTCACTGTGGGAGGCTTGCCTCAGGTCGCTAAATCTTGGGCCACCAGGCCATGACAGATGGTAGAACTGTGCACAAATCCTTGAGGGAGAACAACAAAAGTCCACTGTTGGCCTCCCCACGCAAAGGCAAACTGCTCCTGGCTCTCTGGGCTATATCTATGAAAAAGAAAGTATTAACCAAATCCACCACATAGTGATATTGCCCAAAGACAAAGTCAAACGGTCCATCAAATCTGTTACAGCCGGCATTGTGGAGTGTAATGGGGGAGTCACTGTGTTCAGTTCTCTGTAATCCACAGCCATCCCCCAGGGGCCATCAGGTTTCTTCACAGGCTATATTAGAGCATTGTAGGGGCCATGTGTGGGCCTACAACGATCTTTGCCTTTGCCTTTGCCAGCTGCAAAATTGTCCAAATTCCTCATGCCCTCCTGGGAAGCAGTACTGCACACTTGCACCACCGAGGTTGGGGGTGGGGGGTAGGGGGGATGGGGGAGTTAGAGGGGTGGGGGTAGTGGTAGGGGTGAGGGTGGGGCGTTAGGCAGAGTCACAGCTGCATGATGCAGTTGCCCTCTTGTGGTAGGTTTTATCACAAGCACCCACAGGTGAAATTCACCCTGTCATTGCAATGGCTAACCCTTGCAGTACATCCATTCCCAAGATGTCTTCAGGTATGGGGGAGATTTACACACTGTAGGCCTTCAGGGGAGGCGGCCAATACCCAGTGTTAAGGTTGCCTGCCGCACACGGACAGTCCTGCCTCTGTACCCATCTATATGGGACCAGGCCTTATATCTGTCCGGGTTACCATACAATAAACTGCAGTCTGCACACGTAACCACCATTGCAAACACATGTAGCACATTGCGGGGGGGCGGGGGCGGGGGTGGGGGTGGGGTTGGGAGGGGCAACCAATAAATAGTAAGTTCAACATGCAGCCTCCAGTCCTCCGTGTCCCCCCACTAACTGGGTCCCTCAGCCTTTTCCTCACCTAGAAAATTATATTCCCCCTCCCTGGGACAGTCAAGTAATCTTGGAGGCGCATCATTAGGCTGTTGATCTATCTTCTCTTTCTGAACTCCTGCAGCCACAACCTGGTCGGGGGCCACGTGTCCTCCCACCGGGTAGATGGGGTACCTACCTCAGAATCCTGCCTCCAACTGGCCAACTGTCGGGTGCGAGCTCCTCAGCCAGGGATGTGACCCTCCTCCATGAGGAAATCAGAAGAACATGCGTGTACAAGCAGGCAAATGGGACATGTTTTATTCCACACAACAGCAGCCATAGCAGGCTGGTCAGCGACAGCTTATGTACATGCTCAACCAAGCTCGAACAAAAGAGGCACTTTGCCATCAGTATTTTGCTACAGAAAGGCATGTCTGCGCAGTGTAAGGCTTGTGGCGACCTTGCACCTGCATAATAGTATCTTAGCCTTGAGCACCCCGATTAGGCTCATGCTTAGAGTGGCCTTGAACATCCGGTGTATTCCAGACAGAGCCCCACACCCTTTTATTTGCATGAAATCCTGTAAAGGAACACTAGATGCTTTTTTTTTCATTGCTGGTTATTTTAGTATTTCTATGATAATTTTAAAGTCTACATTTATAATGTGCCTTTTCCCTATATAACCATATTTTTTAAAAAATATATTTTATTGATTTTTTACAGAGAGGAAGGGAGAGGGATAGAGAGTTGGAAACATTGATGGGAGAGAAACATCGATCAGATGCCTCCTACACACCTCCTACTGGGGATGTGCCTGCAACCAAGGTACATGCCCTTGACCGGAATCAAACCTGAGACCTTTTAGTCCGCAGGCCGATGCTCTATCCACTGAGCCAAACTGGTTAGGGCTATAACCATATTTTAAATGGTACCATGCCAGCTAAATTCAGTAGAAACATGAGTAAAACCTTCCAAAAGCCAGCAGTAGCAAGGCTCACAAATACGGAAAGCCCATCCTATTTGTTTGCTATCAGAAACCTCATTAGCTAGGTTGGGGTCTTCAACCGGAGTAATCAGATCTCTGGAAACTCAAAAACTCAAAAACTTTCCAAGGACACCCAGGCTGACAGGTGGTTCTCATGGAATCAGTTTCCAGAACCTGAATTTTATATGTACACTATCTCAACATGATCTGAGAACACTCATGTGGTTTAAAGGTCATACAGGATCTCCTTTCACCCCTTGCTTTCATTTTACAAAGATGGGCCACCCTCTGTTCATGGCTAAGCTTACTATGATGAAATTCCTGGCTTCAGAAAACCTCCATGAGGCAAATAAAGAGAAATGTGAAATACTGTTGTTAGTATTAAGAAAGCCAATACCTCTAATGGCTGGGTAACTAATTTTCATTTCAAAATTATTTCCAAATCGTTGTTTTCAACAAAATTAAAGAAAGACCTAACTAATAAATACTTTAAAATACTTCTTATTGGTATGTTGCTATGTGATTTGGGGCATATATAAATGGCAAGGAGTTCAAACAACTGAGTAAAATTTCTAGGACAAAATTCATTACATTCCCAATATGTGAACAAAGTTTCTCACCCTTCAAAAAAAATCAAAACTAGAAATAATTGAAGCTGAATCCTGACTCACTTAAGCAATAAAGAGTATACACACATATATCAATTAAAAAATAAGGCTCATTCATTTCCTTAAGAGACACATAATGTTTAATTATGTGTCAAAATTTGCAATATATTTATGTTGTTTTGATCAATTGTACATCAATAATGATTGTAGTAGTAGTGTAAACTATACAATTAAAAAAAATACCAAGCCTTATGGTCACTGGAAGTTAAATTTTTATTTCCACTTCCATTTATGTCTGTATTTTTGTTTCAGAAAATTATGATAAGGTAAAAACATTAAATCATAAAATATATTAGATGAATATTCTTGGGAGGAAGTGAAGTGGGGAAGAAGGAAAAAATGCAAACTATTAGAAAAAGAACATGTTCATCTTTTTTAGTGTAGATGTGATAGATAACAAATCCTTATGACATTCACATTCCATTGGACATATTTTAAAATGTAATATAAGAGTTTTAAGTGTCAATATGCCAGAAATGGTATCATTTGCCACTATTAATAGTATCTAAGTATTTTGGATATTTAAACTTTAGGTGTAGATTTAAATTTTTTAAATGTTGGGAAGGTACATAATTTCTCAAAATTATTTGATAGGAAACTGCAACAAAAACACTTAAAGACCACTGGTAGGCCAGCAGTAATCTGCAAGTGTCTGGATTGTTAAATGGGTTGCCACAATTAGTAGAAATTGAGGTCCCAGCTGAGTAGCTAGGAGGTGGACCACCTTCCTGCAATAGATCAGGCAGTCCTCATGGGGATTCGGATGCCAGTAGTCCCAGCACTATAACTTGAGAAGTACCTGTTGATCTAGGCTTTCTTTCTCCTGTTTTGGGAAACTTGATGGTTTAGAGGTGTTAGCCATATAATAGTACTTGACTTGCAATTTGAATTCTTAAATTTGTGGGATAAAGTTCCCCAGTTTTATTATTTCCTTTCTGCTGTCCATATATTTCCTTCCCAAATCCATCCATGAAAACAGTTTGAAGCCATGTAATTGTAAGTATAATGTTTTCCTGAGTTCTGTGAATCATAAAAACTGCTGAAGTTCACTGAATGGGGATTTACCTCTATTGTCTTCCACCTGAACATTCATTCATTCATTTATTCATTATTCACTCATGTCCTAGAGTGGGACCTGAGGATCTGAAGAAGAATCAAACAAGCTCCCTACTCTTGAGTAGCTCCCAGTCAAATGAGTGATTCAGCTACTTGAACCAATAACTTTAATACATCAGATAAACTTCAAGACAAAGAACAAAAGGCTTTAGGAACACAAGTAATGAGCTACAAACTCTGCCATGAAGTTGGAAAGGTTTCATAGATGAAGCAACAAAGCTAAGTTTGAGCCCCAAACAGCAACATGGGAGAAATGAGTAAATCACTCACCATAACACACACACACACACACACACACACACACACACACACACCAATACAATACAATTTGAAATACAATTCTTACACGAACTATCTGGAGTTAGTGCAGACTTCACAGACTTCTCAGGTTAAGGGCATAGCCTCCAAAAACAACTGCTCTCACTTCAGATATCAGTCATAAGTTTGGGAAGTCCCTGCCACCCACACTCTGACCAACTGGCTACACATTCAGGCACTTCCAAGACCCCCTCAGGTCCGATAATTTGCTAGAATGACTCACAGAACTCAGGAAAGCACAATACTTACAATTACAGTTTTATTATAAAGAATACAAATCAGGACCAGCCTAATGAAGAGACACAAAGTCTGAGAGGGTCCCGAAGGCAGAGCTTCCATGTTCTCAGAACATTTCACCAGCATGGGTGATATGTATCAACAGCCAGGAAGCTCACCTGAGCTTTGGGCAGCCAGCGTTTTCATTGGAATTGTATTACTTGGGCATGATTGCCTGAATCACTGGCCATGTGACTGATGTTAATCTCCATGTGGTGTCCCAAAGAGTTGTTTAAACAGAAGAAAGAGAAACCTGGTGACAGAAGATAAGGTGTGGCACGACAAGGTAATAAGTAATTTAGACAGAGGACCAGAAGTTATAGTATGAATAGAGAAATGTGCTGTGGACATATTTACCCGGTGCCCTGAGGTTGGCCTTATCAACCACCAGGACATTAGCCAGATGCCCTGAGGATAGATTTACCCCACTCAGACATGCTAGCCAAACAAGGGGGAGGGAAGGGGTCCCTTTGGACATCAGGGTGGGTCCTGACTCACCAGACCCCATCACCCAGGTGTCACCCAGGGATGGTTGTTTGGGTGGGTAACTCCATGTCCAGAGGGCAGGCTTACCTTTCTGTTTTAGCGTT